GAAGAGGAGAAGGAGGCGCGAGAGGCTGGTGGGTTCGCATGCGGCGTTGTGGGGAGGTAGATGGCGGGGAGCGGAGATGGAGGAGCGGAGGGAGAAGTTAAAGGTTGGATGCGGCGATTCTTCCCGTGCCAAAGCGGGTGGGGGGTGGGATCTGTGTGAGCAGAGGGATGAATCAATGTGCTGCATGTTTTCCCTGGCGGGAGCTGCTCGGGTGCAACGCGAAGCGATGGGGATGCGTATCGCGATGGGATCTCTGTGTGCTGGCGGCGGGCTGGGGTGGGCGAGGGGCTTGTGCAGGGAGTGCATGGGCAATTTGGGACATTTCCTATTGTGAAGCAGAAGAAAGAGGGCAGGCGGCTGCTTCGGTGCGTTCGGAACCGCGCGGGTTCCTGCTGATGGTGTGCATTTTTGAAGGGGGAGAAATTCTATCACAAGCGTATTAAAATAAATACGTCTGCAGGCTGGAGAGGTAGCAAAATCGATCATTGCGGCCGCCTAGGAAAGAATTTGATTCTAGAAATTACGTGGAAACGGAGGGAAAAGATTAATAATGCCGCTAAGTCTGCTTTTCAGTCGGAGCGCTTCTCCCTTTGGCCGCAGCAAGGTTGTTTTCCAGCTCCTTTCTTTTCATCCGGTGATTTGCGAACTCTCCGGGCTTCCCCACGCCGGAGACAATGCCGAGCGCTGGGCACAATGAGGATCGTGCCGGGGCGGTGCGTGCCGCGACCTGCCGTTAGCCCGGGATTTATTGACCTCGGGGTGCCTCGCGTTCCCTGCCGCCCGTTTGGAAAGGCTCTATCGGGGCACCTGTGATCAAATCATCATTTTTAAAGGAAAAAAAAAATATATATATATATGTATATATATATATATGGCTATATATATATATATGGCTATGGAGAGGTGGGGGAAGGATATTGATGCACTGCTGAGGCACTGAAGGCGCTGCTCTGTTAGTGCTGCTTTGTGTATATTTCTCACTACATGCATGTGCGGACACATTCAGTGCCGGGGGGGAGGAGGGGGGAAGAGGGGCTTGGAAGGAGTCGGCTGGCAGTTGAGACCCCGGTTGAGTGGTGTATACATGACCAAATCGTCCCCTCTAGGAAATGACAGTGTCCTTCTGCTTTGAAGATGAGACCGCGTTGTGTACTGATTGTGTGGATTATATCGTTAGTAATAAATAAGCAATTGTGGCTTTTTTATTACTATTATTTATTTCCTTGGGTCTTCCTTTTATTCTTTTCAATCTTTTCGTCTTTCTCCCTTCCCCCCTCCCCCTTTATTTTATTTCATTATTACTGTTATTATTCATTTCTTTCTCCCTTTCGTCCTCTCTCTGCCGCTCCGCGGGCGGGGGCCGGGCGGCACCGCAGCCGGCGGCGGGGCGGCTCTCCGGGAGGGATCCCCACTCGGCGGCTCTCCGCGGACACCTGTAGGGATCGCTCTGCACGCTCGGCGGCGCGCGTGCACCCCCACACACACAGACACACACGCGCGTTCTCACGCATCCGTGCACGCGGGCGCGCTCGCTCCTGCCTCGCGGCACCTGCCTGCTCGTGCTTCCCCTGCACACCACGCGCGGTCCCTCCCCACTCATCCCTCACCCTTGGGCCACGCGCCGACGCGCCCACCTGCCGTCCCCTGCCCCGGCCATCCCCAGCTCGGCACACGCACAGCTCCCCGACCCCTTTTCCTCGCCGCAACCTCTCCCTCCCTCCGCCCTACGCTCGCCCTTCCCTCCCGCCCCCGGGGCATCCCTCGTGCTCCCACTCGCGTGCAGCTCCCCCCCCCCCCCCCCCTCCAATCCCCCGCCGCTGCAGGGAGCCCCGGGCGCAGGCGGCAGCCGCTTCGCCGCCGCCCCGTCGGGCCGCACAGGGCGGAGCTGTTCGTGGTGCTGAAGCGGTGCCTGCCCGCCCGACAGCGTAGAGGTGCCCCAAAGGCTCCCGTCGGGGGTCGGTGTTGCATACTTCCCTCTACGAGCCATCCCGGGCACCGCGTTTTTTTAGGGGAGGGGGACTGCCGGAAAACTGCTGGCAGCGGCTTCAGGCGGGGAAAACCATGGGGCTCGCTGATGCCCTGCAGTGCCCGGTGGCGACTGAGCATGGCTGGCCTCTGCCCGATGGGTTTGGGAGTTCTTCTAACCTCTGAGGGTTCTTCTTGCTTTCCTTTCGCTTCTCTTGCCTTCCTGGCATGTGACAAATAATAAAAATAAACGTGTTGACATTTAGAGAAATGAAATTAAATATAAAGAGAGAGTAGGAGGTGACTTAGCAGTTCAGAACGTGTCAGGTGCAGGCAGCCGAGGTGTGTGCAGGTTTTGCCCCGGCAGGCACATCCCTTCCCCCCCCCTCGCAGCAGATGCATACCCGCACACAATAGCCTGAGAGGGGCTTGGCAGCTCTGGCCGTGCTGTTCTGCCTGAGTGCTGCTGTCTGAGGAGAGGGAAGTGTTGGAGATTCTCTCCTCCATCAGGAGATCTCTGCTCACGCACTCCTCCTGGAAAACACTGTGCAGCTTGGAGGAAGAAAAGAGAGGGGAGCCACTCTGCTGAAATGCTTTAAATGCAGAGATCGCTTCAGAAGAAGAGAGTGAACTATGGCATATGTATTATTTTTTAAATGAGGAATGTCCTTTTAAATAAGGATGGCTGAGTAAACATACATAAAATACTGCAACCCATTTCAGAGGACTAACACCTGGGATTAGCTGATCTGCATTGTGAATAATGTCAGCATCAAAGCCGGCTTGAATTGGATTTTCCCTGCCAGAACAGAGAATATCAGCTGCAAAAGAAAGGTGTCAGAGAAAAATGCAGTTTGAAATTTTCAAAAAGCCTTCTAAGAAACCATTGCAATTCTTCCTCACCCCATGAAAATAAACCAGTAGGTGTGCCATGTACAGCAGAGCCTGCCAGTTCCTGCTGGGAGCTCTGTCCCTTTATTACGTTTTTGAGCTATGTTAGAAAGAACTAGAACCAGGCTTTGTACCATCATCTGCATTAATAGGACTCTATAGCATCACAGGTGCTGATATTTCTATAAATAAATTACAGTAAACCAAATAGCAGGACAAGCAATATCTTTTAGGATACTTCTTAACATCGGTCTTATAATAATAATAATACATGCTCCTAAAATATTTGCAAGTTTTGGAATGGTAAGTAGTTTACATACAGATTAAACCATAAAAATGTGATCTGGTGTACGCATATACATTGGATTTAAGCTTAGCACTGCACGTTATGATGATTTCTCAGTAACTCCAAAATTACAGCAGCATTTCACTGCTAACACTGAACAGCGGCTCAAATGAAAAATTAATCACAAGTGTACACTATTGATCAACTTTATGATTTCATTTGTTATTATTAGTCGTCGTTTCTTATTATTCTGTTTTGATTCCTTGCAGATTAGAAACAAAAATAATAGAAGAGTTCATCCCCTGGATCTTAGCCTTGGCCTTTTACAAGCGAGCAGAAGAGGAGCTGTCAGGCTGTGCATGTCAAATAGCCACCCGGCTGTTTGACAGCTTCTGGGTTTCAACCCCATTGGGATTGAGGCAGCTCAGGAAGCCATGAGCGATGAGTCCTGTCGCCTGCTGACGCTGCTCCAGCACCATGGCAGGCATTCCGTGATCTGACAAGAGGATACGTCTTGGGGAGGCAGCACTGGGATCCATAATTGGCTTCCTGGGAAACTACAGCTGGTGGATAGGATGTAAAAAGAGGTACACACACACTGGGATATTGCTACACTCTTGCTGAGCTCCTGGATCTGCTTGGAGGAGAGGATTTTGCCACCAGTCTTGTTTTTATATCTCCCGCTTTGGTAATGTTGGCTTTGGGGAAAATTTCTGCTGACTCACCCACGCCCAGACACCTTTCTCAAAACTTGGCTGATCAGTGAAGAACACCACTGGCACCTTCTCCCCTCTGGCCCCCTCAGTGTTCCCCTCCATCCCGCGGGGCCCCCGCAGCCCCCCCCCCCGTCCTGTGGCGGGGGTGAGCACGCCTGAAGCTCCGAGCGTGGCCGGTGTCCAGCAAGATTTTACCCTGTCTGCCCCTGGGGCCCCAGCGCCGCCCCCCGCCGGCACTGCCGCCCCACTTGCTCGCCCCAGGCCGCGCAGGATGGGGGCGGCGCTGGTGCGGCGCGGGGGCTGCCTGCTGCTCTGGCTGGCCCTGCTGCTGGGCTGCTGGGCTGAGCTGGGCAGCGGGCTGGAGTTTCCAGGGGCCGAGGGGCAGTGGACCCGCTTCCCCAAGTGGAATGCCTGCTGCGAGAGCGAGATGAGCTTCAACATGAAGACGCGCAGCTCCAGTGGGCTGGTGCTCTACTTTGACGATGAGGGCTTCTGTGACTTCCTGGAGCTCATCCTCACCCAAGGTGGGCGGCTACAGCTCAGTTTCTCCATCTTCTGTGCTGAGCCTGCCACCTTGCTCTCTGATATGGCGGTCAACGACAACCTTTGGCATGCCGTGGTCATCCGCCGCCACTTCAAGAACACCACTCTGATCATTGACCGGGCTGAGGCGAAGTGGGTGGAGGTGAAGTCCAAGCGGCGGGACATGACTGTGTTCAGTGGCCTCTTCTTGGGGGGACTCCCGCCGGAGCTGCGGTCGGCGACTCTAAAGCTGACACTCTCCTCTGTCAAGGACCGGGAGCCCTTCAAGGGCTGGATAACAGATGTTCGGGTCAACTACACACAGACATCGCCAGTGGAGAGCCAGGAGGTGCGGCTGGATGATGAGCAGAGCCACCTGTGTGCTCGGGAGGATGTTTGCCTCAACGGAGGTGTCTGCTCGGTGCTCAACGACCAGGCTGTCTGCGACTGCTCCCAAACGGGCTTTCGGGGGAAGGACTGCAGTGAAGGTAAGGCACCATCTTAGCTTGCCCCACCACTCCCTTTGTGTAGTGGAGGGGATGGGTAGGAGGTCAGGCCTGCATGGAGTTTCATCTGTATGAGTGGGTCTCGCTCCCCTCCCCGCTGCCTTCCTGCTGCCTCCTCTCTTCCTGCCTTCCTCTCCCCACGTGTCTCTGTGGCAGACCATGGTGCCATCACTCCTCTGTTCTCTTCAGGGGCGAGCAGGGGGAGGAAGACATCATCTGGGTATCTTCTGATGGCAGGGTGAGATGTGGGGATGTCCTGGGATGGAGAAAGGACAGGGCCTTGGTGCCAGGTGCTTCCCAGCTGGGAGGGGGTGGCCAGCATTTTACTTGAGGGTGAGGGTGGGCAAGCTTGCAATGAGTGGCTGCTCGCAATTCATTTTGGGAAAAGGGAAAACAACAAAGAGAAATTTTGCTGGATGAAGTGCGAAGATGACCTGGGTTTATTTTTGTAGGGTAGCAGAGATCCAGAGTTTGTTTTGTTTTGATACCTACTTCTGGTCTGTTATTTGAATAAAATCAGTGATTTATTTGGGAATTCCTTAAATTGTTGCTGAGGAGGAAGATTAGACAGAGGATTATGATTTTACACATATGTGAACGGTATTGCTTTGTGATGTATTAGCCATTTACAATGCTAGTCTTAAAGAGAGAATACAAAAGGGGGAAGCATACAATCCATGACTGCAAAATTCCTGAGGAAGATAGAGCTTTGAAAAACAGCAGTTTCCTGAGTCCCATCTGCAAATAAAGCACTGAGTAAAATATGGTTCGTATTCAGTGCCCATTGTTATTTGTGGTTGGAAGGATTGTGAACATTTAATGCAGATACATGCAGGATTCATATTATTTTGCTAGTAAGTGTACCACTGCTTGAAGCTATGTAAGCATAGAGATTACCTGTGTTATGTACCTACAGTGTAACTTACAGGTATACATATGAAATGAGACCAAATGTATCAAGTGAGAATGTAATGTTCATTTCAGAATTTGAGGGCAAAGACCTGAGTGTAAAATGTAAAAGTAACTATCAATAAGATACTACGTAGCCCAAATGAAGGTCTTCCCTGAGTAGCTGCATGACATTTATAGCTGAATAATTTTGTCATTTTTATCAGATTTCACCCATTTTAAAAAAGAAAACTTCATTTGTGACTGTGCTTTATTATGTAATACCTTCTGTCCTTAGTGTCAGTACCCAAAACACCACAGTCATTCTGCATCTTGTTTGCTTTATCAGTTGTTTATCTCTCATCTGCCATTTGTTAATAAAACCAAACCTTATAAACATCTTAAAATAAGTTTTAGTAAGTAAAGGCCAAATGATAATTTAACAGAATAAGAAGTCTGTTTTTTCAATAACACACAGTCCCAGAAACAGTAAAATGAGGTATCTTCTATTTTATTCTAAATCATGTCAGTAAATTTAGTATTTGAGGGGGAATTTTTAGTGCATAGTACTACTTAATATATAGGTGTACATAAAATATTGAGTTGTCTTTGCACCTTTGAGTTAGGTCTCATAAACTAAAAAGCAAATTGTGAGCTGTAGCAGTTTGATTAAAGCAACAATAATCATTTATATATAGTTATAAACCTATATACATTGAAAGTGTTTATTTAAAGTGATTTTGAACATATATTTATGTGAAAAGTTTGTATAATTGCATGTAAAATGAGGCAGAAAAAAATCTAATCTTTAAATAACAGAATTAATGAGATCATGAGCTATTTTTAAATAACATTTTTGTATTTAGATTGAATCTTCATGAAATAGTTTTTTATATGTAAGCATGTATTGTATAGTGGTTGTAAGATGATGATACTGAAAATAATTTTAGAATCCACCAAATTAGAGTGAAATACTGGCTTCAATCAATTACAGTGTTTTTAGAATTGACATCAGTGGGATCCCCCTCACATGTTCCTTGGCCACCAAGAAGCCTTATAAAATAGTAACAAGACATACTTTTTGCTTAGACTCATCCTGAAGTATTCAGCTTCTAATTTCATTTGAAATAAAAGACAGTGTTTTCACTGATACCAGTATAAATCGAATTTGTTTCTGTTGATCAAAAAAAAAAGATAAGTTAAATTCAGATCAGTGAGGTTTGATGAAGGGATTAGTAACTACTTATGTGCTACCAAAGATATTGAACTGATTTGTAATTAATAATTTAATCTTTTCAGAAATAAAAAAGTGGAAGTACAAGTGAAACGACCACATTTGTCAAGTAGGAAATCCTGGCTATTGTTACTTATTTCTTTATAGCCAGCATAGAAATTATGTTGTTGAGTTATGGCCTTTTGTTCCTGGAATGCGTAAATTTTCCCCAGCCCTTAATAAAAGAGGTTGCCGTTGTTGAAGGATGGAGGATCATCTCAAATTATGGTGATGTGAAGTGAGACTTTTGAGATCTTGCTGTTTGTCTTGTTTTAATTAGAAATGTTTTGTATGTGGAAAAAATACCAAAGTGTCCATTTTTATCTGAAATCTTGACCATATGTCCTAGTTACTACCTTTTTCCTTCAAGGTGAAAGATTAAAACCCATTCTTTGTCAAGACCTATCTATCTACATTATGTATAAGCTTAGATTTTGTGTGCTTTTGTATTTCTGGCTGGGCACAGGGTTCAGTTTTAAGTGGTGTAATGAGCACTTCAGGAATCAATAATATTAAAAACAAACAAAAGAAAATCAACTTTTTCAAAAAATTTTAATCCTGACTTGCACATTTAAGAGATTAGAAAATAAATGTATAGACTTAAATAGGTTTGAAGAGTCAATGGCCTCAAGCCTTTAAGGCCTTAGGAAGCATTTTTTATATCATCTAAGTCTCCCTGCCCTTCTTCTTCACCTTTGAAAATCTCATTAAGTCTTCTTGAAGTAAAATTTTCTCAGAAGAATAAAGTTTCACCAAGTATATTTGCTTTGAAAATCCCATATTATTATAACTAGTATATAAAGTATTATATATCTGGATTGCTGCGTCCAGGCCTGGGGCTCCCGGCACAAGAAGGATGCAGAGCTCTTGGAGCAGATCCAGAAGACCACTAAGATGACCAGAGGGCTGGAGCACCTCTCCTATAAAGAAAGGTGGAGGGAACTGGGCTTGCTTAGCATAGAGAAGAGAAGGCTGTCATGTGACCTCATTGTGGTCTTCCAATATTTGGAGGGAGCATATAAATAGGAAGGGAAATGGCTGTTTATGAGGGTGAATAGTGATAGGACAAGGGGGAATGGTTTTAAACTGAGACAGGGGAGGTTTAGTCATGGATTTAGGGATGTTAGGATGAAGTTATTCACTCAGAGGGTGGTGATGCACTGGAACAGGTTGCCCAAGGAGGTTGTGGATGCTCCATCCCTGGAGGCATTCAAGGCCAGGCTGGATGTGGCTCTGGGAAGCCTGGTCTGGTGGTTGGTGACCCTGCACATAGCAGGGGGGTTGAAGTTGTGTGATCATTATGGTCCTTTTCAACCCAGGCCATTTTATGATTCTGTGATAACTTACTCCCAGTAGGCTTAACTGTCCTTTTGCCTTTCTAATTAAGAGTAGCTTCATTTATGTTATCCAAACTATATGGGAGTGAATTTAGGAAAGTATTGGATATATTGCATTCAGTCATGTTCTTAGTTCCAATAGTATCTAAACTGTCTTCAGTGGGAGATTTCATATGAATCACAGAATAAGGACTGGAGTTCTACTCGAATATTAAGGGCATGCTGTCTACAGCAGAGAAAAATACGACATGTAGCAGTACTGTTGTTGGCTGGGCTGAGTGCTTATAGATAAAGACAGCATGAGAGGCCTTCTAAAAAAGAATATCTCTAGTACTGAAACATACAAGGGAATATTATTTCTTGTATTAACTCAGCAGAAGGAAAAATACATAAAATTATGATAAATTTTGCTAGAAATAAGACTGGCGTTAAAATAAACCCCAATTGCCATACAAATTTTCTGATAAATTCTTTGACATACATCACAATCTTCTCAGTGAAAATTATATTATTCCATGAGAAAAATCAAATGGATATGGTGTGATTTTGCTAAAATAACTGTTTGTTAAGAAGACTGTTCTTAAGAATTAAATTAGTGAATTAAGTCAGAGTCCTAGAAGATAAGGAGAATAAGTCTCCTACCAGTATTTTTTAGTCCATTTTGTTTCTTATGTTTAAATTTCAGAACAAAAACAAGTATTACATTAATAAAATATTGACCTTCTGACTTTAGATGGAATTTATAATTTTTCTTTTTATTTTCATTCGCATTAAAATAATATAGTCCAGTATCCTGTCTGAGAAAATAGACAGATGCCTCTGGAGAAGGCAATGAAAACCATGTTACACGCTTTGCTCTGGGAAATGTTTCTCACTGAACCCAGATTCTTGTCAATTCACGACCTTCTGTGGTTCTGTATCTGTGACTGTTTCAAGAAAATTACATGTGGGGTGATTTATCTTTCTAAAATGTAGCTGGGCTACTTGCCTCAATATTTGGTTGTTATAGAAACAATTACTCTGTGGATCCAAAGTGTTCTTGTTTAGAGCATGGCTTATTTTAACTGTCCTACTGAGTTTCTGTTTTGTGGAAAAAATGAGGACTGTTCATGCAGCTGTTCACTGTAAGAGATACTCTTCCTTGTCAGATATTTAGAACTTGATGCCAGCTATGGTTTGAACTGTGAAAAGTTTTTTTGTTTTGTTTTGTTCTGTTTTTTAAGGAAGTAAATTTCAGATGTCTCAGGCTAGCCAGCATTTAGATTTGTTTGTTTGGGTTCTGAATATATTACATCAATCTTTGTTGTGCATATTTGCTTCTTCATGTTAACTTAAAAAAAAAGTCATCCAATATTCATATCTTTTTGAAAATTTCCATATTATAATTCCTTCAATTCCCTTGTGTATTGAATAAAATATATAAACATCTTTGGGCATGAATTATATTTTTTGAGATAGATGTTTGAGCTCAAAGTGATACTTTT